TCATCACTCATCCAGAAAACAACCCACAGCACTTGCAAGACATTTCAAAAAAATGACAGCATAATTTTAATAATATTTTTTTGGCTCACCATTAAAACCTATCTTCCCTGAAGTGTACTGGGCATTCACAAAAAATCTACATGTTGTTACACTCACTCCCATCTAAAGTGTCTTTATGCATCTCTTGCTGAAGCTAACTGTCCTTCTGCTTTCATCTTTTCCCCAAATCAAAATACAATTTTCAAAACCAAAATTAAACAGGAAGAGAAATCTGAAGACAAAAAAAATACACTTTTTCCTAAAATTTTATCAGCAGCTTCCCAGGGTTGGACATGGAAGACATCCTAGTAAAAATGTAACTGCTACATTAACTGCTAGACTTATGCTTTTCAAGTGAGGACTATTCTTTGCTTTCCATTTTTAAGTCCAGTGTCTTATTAAGCACTTTAGCAATAGAATAGCGTCTACAGTGTCTAAGATTATTTTTGTCTATGAACAGGAGAGAAGTATCAATGTTGAAGAAAGGAACATTTCACAGACAGTTCACTCCAAGGTATTTGTTCTAGATCCTGTGCTACCAACTCCTCTCCTTTTGCTGTTTCTTCTTCCATGATGGATTAAAAAGCATCAAGAGGCAGGAATTTGTACGGAAACAAAACGTCACGACAACAGTGAAGCTGTGTTTATTGCAGCTCACTATCTGGCTTCTGGCAATTAAAGACAATTTACTTGCTTTTGTTCAACTCCCTGAAACACTAAGTATGTATGTAAAATGTCTGGTATTTATTTACTTATCAGTAAGCTTATTAATTTTTAGTTTGTTTACATAAACATAAAATATCTCACTTCTCAAGGTATAGTGTACCAAGAAACGCTGTACAATTAACAGTGGAGACAGAAACAGGGAAATAACTGAAAATGACAGAATTTAATGAGAATGGGTACTATCCAAGTGCTTGCAAGGAAAAAAGGAAGGATTTGTACTGGTGAGTGGTAGTAGTGATGATTCCAGAGCAAGAGATCTGTGAGAATGGTTTGGAAGGGACTTGGAAGAAAAATGGTACCAGGCCACAAGGTTTCTGAAGAAGAGAAGGAGAAAATTATAAGCAAGTGCATTCGCAGGTAAGTCTCTAGCATTCTAGGAAAAAGAAAATTTCGAGGAATGTTATTGAAGCTTTGAGCAATAAAAAAAATAAAATAAAGAGGACGGGAGCAAAGAAATGCTTTAGAAGATGCATCTTGCCAGTCAACATGTTATGTTTATCCCAGGGATACGGACTTCTCCTGCACTAGAGAAGCCTCCCTACAAAACATAAAGAACAATAGGGAACAACAGCTTCTATATACATATATATTTTTTTCTTAAACCAAACAAATCAGGCCTCTAGTTTCTTACCTATCTTACCAGCCCAATCTTGGAGCCTGATTCACACAGACACACTGCTTGTGTTCTCCACATGCCAGCTGGGAACAAGCATCTGTTTGAAATCTCAGCTAGATAGCTACACTACAGCTCCACTGTAGTTTAACAATCCTGGGAAGCTCTCCTTCCTGTCTCATCTACTTTTCTTTGCTGCCTCTGCTCACCATTACAGATACTACATTTCTCAAGTCTTCTACCTTCTTGACAGAAACCACAGGGACAGGTATTCATCTGCAAATTTCTCTCCTTTAGAAAGCACTGGGAAAGTCCCTAAATGTGACAGATTAAAACAAACTCGAGCAACATTGAAAACACTTGTTTCCACTAATGATAATTTGTTTGTCTTCAGTAGTATGAACCAAAATTCAAATTGCCACATGGCTTAAATTAAAAACAAAAATACACCATTAATATTTTCAAGCTTTTAAACTTCAGCTTTAATCAACTTGATGTTAGGAAAACATAAGAAAATGGAAGAGAGCAGAAAAGACTAAAAATAAAAAAAATGGCAAATGACTGAATGGCAGGTAGAGTAAATGCTGCTTTAATACAGCGTTAGGACAGTTTTATAGGCACTAATAAAATTAAACTGATTTTGCAATTTTGTATTAATTATGTTGCATGGAAGGCATTTAATTAGTAATTTGGTAGAAGTCTGAAGGTTGATGCTATTCATCAGCTGAATACCTAGGCACATTAGGAAGAAAATAACTACCTGGAGTTTTGACCTTCCCTAGCTATTGCTAATGCCATTTACTAAGGCTACAGGCTGGACCATGCTTCTACTGCTCCTCATTGCCTCCTTCAGTTGTGAGTTCAAGGAAGAGTTAGCTTTGTAACATTATTTTAAAGAGCTTTTCCCTTTATTCCTACCCTAACCCCCTTCCTACTCATTACTGCCTCCTAAATTAGGCTGACCGAGCTGAATGGCTTGAGTTGGAAGGGATCCTGAAGATCACCTAGTTCCAACCCCTCTGCCATAGGCAGGGATGCCACCCACTAGAAGGCATTTTTCAATGAACTAATCATCAACTGGAAGAAAGTACTTTAGGAGTGTATCTTCCAGTTCCTAATCTACATCTGAAAAACAAAGGTAAGCATAATGCTGAAAAATCAGGAAAGATTCTATTCTCCTTTGGCATTGTACATCCCTGCTAACTACCATGAAATGAAATTCACCCCTCAGTTCTTCTTTGGGGATTTAACTCCATGAGGAAAGTAATACACTATGTTGTTGCTATGTATTCTTCATTCGATCACAAGCATCTTGCGCATAGGAAAATAATCTGGTAAGAATGGCAATGCTCCCTTTGCCAAATGCAGGGATATTTCAAGATAGGGACTAAATACTATTGTACTATTGGTAATTAACTGATGAAAGACAAATGAAACTTTCTAGCGGTCCTGTTATGTACAAAAGAAAGTTAGGAAGAACTGTGAGGCAGTATACTTAATATTTCAGATGCTGTTTCGCCCTAGCTATTGAACTAACTCTGAAAAAAATGTTATTTTGAAGAATAAAATATATCTGGAAGTTTATCATACCTGTACTAGTAATCAGGAATCTAGAAATCATAGCTTAGGTTGGATTTAAGCTTTTTCAGAGCTTTATGTAAAAGTTGGATGGAACACGGTGTCTATTAAGGCAAACAATTAATGAAATAAAAGTTTATTGAAAATGAAATTGTGTAAGCAAGTAATTGTTTTCTCTACCACTAAAGGAAAAATTCCACTTTCTTACCAATACAAAAAATGGTGATACTGTCCTGTTGTCTCCTAAATTTAGATACATCAGTAAAATCTTTCAGGCATTTCTTACAGATTTTTACAGAGAGGGTAAGGGTATCATAAAAAAAATAAAATCATTAAACACTTCATTTGTGGCATGAAGTCTTGACTTGACCCTGTGATAGCAACTGAGGTTCTGAAAAGGAGTTCATATAAATTATTAACCTACTCAATCTATTAAGAATTTTTTTTTCCTCTAGTTATGCTTCAGACACATCTTTTTCTTAGCTCTATAAGGTCAATAGTCAGCTATCCATCTTCTAGCTTTATTGAGAAAAATATGAAAACATCTCCATGCTGCCTCATTTATTTTTAACGTTTCTTCCTCCAGTAGCCTCTTTCCAATCTTACTTGTTTTCAACCCAGTAAAATGCTATCCCTCCTGATCACTTCCATCTTTCTCAATGCCAAAATTACTATTGCTAGTTTGGGTTCTCAATGTAACAAAGCAATATAATTTGTAATAAATGGACATCTTCAGAAGTGTTTGCGTTATCTTCTCTTGATTACATAACTAAATCCTAATGGAAGGAGTTATTTTGGAATATGCATTTCTTTTTGAACCACAAGTATCTTTTTTACTAGATAAAGAATTAAAATATATAATTTAACTCCTTATATAAGAATTAAGGTTTATTGTGGCCATAATATAGTCTAAGATAATTCCAGCTAGCCTTTAAACCCTTAACTAAGTGGCAGTTTTAAAAATATCAACATTTCCAACCACTGCTACATACAATATCAAAAAGACAGAACACTACAAAACTTGAAGATGGCAAAGTAGGGACATAGTAACACAAAGTTAAGATGATTGTTCAGTACCTGTACTATTTTTCCTCCTATTAATGCATGAATATAGGGCATACTGGACCACTCATTTCACAAACCACTAAGGTGTGGAAGAGAACAGAAAATAGAGTATCTCTAACACTAATATAAAACTTCCAGCAAAGCCATAGCTTTTACAGCAAAAATAGTTACCTGAGAGTAAGGGCACCTTTTATACTTCTGAATGTGGTTTTAGTTGAATACAACTATGACTTACTACTAAAATCCACACAGCAGTGTCTGATAACTAATCCAAGAGTCTGTTTTAACAGAGATTTACATATCCTTCTGAATCTTGCAGATGTCTATCTACAAGCCTAGGCCTCATATGTGTGAGGGGAAAAGCAGGTGGTAAATGTTGAGCACACGGACACATAAGCATGTAGAACATTAAGAACATTAAGTCATATTGAGCACATAAGAACATTAAGTCGTAATTAGTATTACTACGTTGTATTAACCTCCTGGTTCCATCCAACCTCTATTACACATCCTTGTATTTCAGGTAGGGGGCCAACAGCCTATAACAAAGGTGTGCTCTGTGCCAGAAGAAATCCCTGAGAGACAGTTTTATTGACCAAAGCTGTATTCTGAGCCCAATCTCTCTCCAGCAGTGCTGCCTGTAGCTTTCAAGTAGTTAAAGCAGAACAATTTGATAGGGTATTTTCTGCAGACAGAGCTGTACAGAAGTAACTAATATTAGGAGCATTTTATAGGAGAGACTCTTTCTCTCTTTCTAAAGGTAAGAAGTATCGTTCTAGACCAAAATGGAGATGGAAAAAACAAATAAACAAAAAAAACACACCCATACCACACATGAAAGAAAACTACAGACTTTTATCTGGTTCCAAATACAAGTGTCCTGCATAGACATACAACATCCGAAGTTCGCTGCTACACAGTGTTTCTGCACAGTGAAGCATTAGCAACAGATTCCTACAGAGATTTGTGATGTGCTTACCTTAGGAGATGTCAGGGTTCTTGCTGTCTCTTGCCTGGTGGCAGCAGTTACTAAAGTTAGAACCATACATTTTTGCTAGTCCTGTTGGTCAGTGTGAAGCGACATGATGTGTCTACTGTAGCAGAATCAGCAAACATCCTTACTGTAAACAATTATGCAGACAAAGCTGTTTTTACTACTCTTACTTGTTTCTCTCTGATCAGGAATAATTCTACTACACCTGCAAAGGAAAGGCTCCCATGTATCTCATTAGGAGTTTCAAATACATCCTCACAAAAGTTCAAAACCATTTTTGGGCCACTTCACATTTTTGCACCCTCACAGTTTGTATCTTCCCCCCCAGTTCTCTTACCTTGTTTTCCATAGGCTCACGTTTGCTCTTCCAGTCCCAGTCCAAAATACCCAGACTTGCAACAGGGGTCACTCCTTCCTTTTTTATCACAATGAGGGAATTCCACAAGCAGTTCAAGCACCATCTGCAACACTGTGCTCATGGCTCTCCATCTTACTCTATACTGGCTTCTGTTGTGCTGGGAGAATGTCCTCAGGGGAAGGGCTTGTAAGATGCAGAGTACTCTTCTCCCTGTGCCAAGCACACTGTTAGGCATCTTCTATCACAATTTCTCCAGAAGTTCTCCAGGACAACATCCCTACTGCTGGATAGGCTATGCATGTGACACAGGTGGTTCCTGTTGGCTCTCAAGCACAGGTGGGAGAGAGAAAGAGGCCACATTAGACTGGGGGAAGGAGACTGCCTGTCTTTCAGAGGTACCTCAGGATTGGCTGCTACCCATAGCAATATCTCAGGTGCTGCAGATATTCTGCAGTACACAGAAAACAAATTGTTATCCCAAATACTTGCTATGCATCAGCTGCAAGCTATTATTTCCTAAATATAGGGAAAGCTCCTAAAGGTCAGTATTTAAAAAAAATAAAAATAAAGGCAATGCCTCTTTGTTCTGTTTCTGTTTCAATATTCATAGAATGGTTTGGGTTGGAAGGGACTTTAAAGCCTGTCTAAATCCAACCTCCCTGCCATGGGCAGGGACACCTCCCACTACCCCAAATTGCCCAAAGCCCCATTCAGCCTGGCCTTGAACACCCCCAGGGATGGCGGAGCCACAGCTTCTCTGGGCAGCCTGTACCAATGCCTCACTACCCTCTGAGTAAAAAAAACAGGTAGTAGATATGGCTCACAGGATCCTCTGAACAAACCTTTACCTATCTCTTTAGTTTGTCTACTGATAACTCTTTGAAAGAATCCACTGTCACATACCGTAACTTTCATATTGTTCAGTTATTAATGAGTATGGAAAACAGTATCAATTATTCACTGAGAAATTTCAATCCACTAACTTTTGCTGAGAAGAAAAAAAAAAGTCAGCCAAGATATCAAGTGTCACTAAATGATGCATTCCTACTACAGCTTTCTTTTTACACAATTGGTATCAAATTGCACAGTCCCCACTTATGCCAAGACCACAGATTTGTAGGTAAAGCAGTTTCCAAAGCATCACAGTATGATCTACTCTAACTACAGCAAATGAGTAATAACCATCTCAATTTCACAGCAGTTTATATGTGTATCTATTACAACAACTTGCCTTTTTATTGTTGTTTCTAATAACTCAATAAAAAACCTACAGTATATATGATTAAGAAGCTGTGTTACAGTGATCAAGGTCTACAATTCTCAGTCCCAAACCATACTGTACTGTTATAGCTTCTACAACACAGTTTATAACTATGCTCAGCTTATTGAAATTTTACTGTATTTGATCCAGTTCATAACCAAACCTTCAATAGCTGTGAATAGTTTCATGTATGACATTTTAATGCCCAAAACAGATGGTTAAGACATTCAGCCTTACCTTCATAAGTCATCTACAGAATTTCACTTAATACTCCTGCATCAAAACCATAGCTTCTGGTTGAGCTAATTTCTAACACTCTGCTCCTTTTGGATGCCCAGAAAGAATATTTTGAAAAAGCTGTCTTAATCATCAAAGACTAAAGATTCTTGCTAATTCCTGTCCTGCCCACATATTTCTAACCTTTGAAATCCAACTTGCTCTTATTATTGGTTCTTTTCTCAAACTGCTATGCCAATTGCCTTTTCTGCCAGATTTTTAGTACATGTATCAGGCATTTACACTCTTAGAGTTACAAGTATTATCTGGACAAATTCATATACACTAGCTGCTCACGGTTCCCGTTTTGTTTTCTCAGATGCCTGTACTCAGCATTTCACATGTGAAATATTTCAGGCACATCTTGATACAAAAACATCACCAATTCTAAACAGAATGGGAGTGTTAAATAAACTAGCTTCCAGCTAGCCTTACCTTACAGACAGAATTTGTCTGTGCTGGGTCAGTGCTAAGGCTATTGTGATGTCTCTATTGTTTGAGAATGAAGCAACATGCAAACTTGCGATTCTTTCATATATCATTTTCTTCTGAAAGGAATGATACTATGTTGTGCTGACATTGTCAATGCAGCTGAGCTAACACTACTCTGAAATGACGGGACAAGCAGGTCACAGCTCATCCAGCTGTTATTGCAGATGTAGATGTCTCTGCCTCAGTCACAATTTCTTCAAGTCTCTTTCTAACCCAAAGCCAGTAGGAATTTACTTTGAAAAAGCAAATCAAAACTGAGCATATGTCTGCAGTGTACATGGCAGTACAGGAAGGTCAAGCTAGTGCTGACTGGTACATCTGCACAGAACAGTATTAACATGTTAGTGATGTGCTGTGCCTCTGCTCACAAGTCCTGCCTCTCATGAGGGCTTACCAACTGTAGCGTAAGTTACTGTAGTGCTTGACAGTCAGCTCCAAGTTCTCTGCAGCATGTACCCCAGTGATCTTGAATGCCAGCAGAATCAGGTTCAAATCCCTGTTTGGCTCAAACAACAAAATGCAAATTTTCAGGTTCACTAGCATCACCTTTAATACAATTGTTCTTTATGAGGGAGAAGTTACTACATGAAATCTGCTTGCTTCACTGGAAATGATAGTTTATTAGGGGAGAGTCACAGTACACCTTGAAAGAAAATAGACTTGAAAATCAAGATAGATTTTTTTGAGCAAAATATGCATGATCTTGAAAAACACTGACCAAAACCTGAAAAGAACAAGAATTCCAACAATAACTAAAAATTCTTACTGTTTTTAAATATTTGAGGATGATATATATATATATATATATTTTTTATAATTCTTGCTCACTACCTTTTCAACAATAATTGCCCATTTGACTTTGATATACCTGAGATCTAGGAATCATCTATTAGAATGGAAGGAAACAACTTGCTTTAGATAACCTTTCTACATCTAGATAGTATCAGTAGCTTGGACAGCATAATAAAAGATATGAGGTATTTAGATATTTCATGTTATCCTTAACTGCTGAATGTTCAGATCTAATGAAGTTTGCATAAATTGCTCTCACTACAATAAATTGGATATGCTGACTTTCTGCATTTTGGATGAAGGCAAGGTCGTTGTACTGCTGCAATAAATCCATATGATATGGAAATCTTGAAAGAAGTCAAATACTTATTTTGTAATCCCTTTAATTCTAAGTCTGATTTAGGAAAGCAAGAAAACTTCACTTGAAGCCATTAGTCAGATGACAAAATACATTCTTTCAAGAAGTCATTATTAAAGAGACAGGGTTAGAAAAATTCAGCAGTTACTGTTTTACATGGTCAGAAAATGATTTTCAGTGGGTTCAGAATCAAAATTACTGAGCTTACTGACAACACATAACAAGTGGAAAGAGGTATGTCCTATTTATCAAAGTAATTACCAATATAATCTTCAACAGGTAGCATTAATAATGATTTACTAACATCAACCTAATCAAAATACAGTTCTTTATTGCTAATTTGTTTTTCAAGCAGTCAGATCTTGCATGTCTTATCTTTGCATTCTCTAGTAATGGTCAGTTTCCTCACAGCATGAGTTTTGGTGTCAATCTGACCAAATAAATGACGTTTTAGGTACTTATGTAACTGGTATGGTTTTAAATCAAATTTTCTATGTGTTACTTAAGAGTAGCTGTGGCTAATTTGGGGTAATTTTCTTGTGATACTTACCTAAGCCAAAATGTTCCTATTTAAAACAGAAAGATTTTTAAGGACATTCATCTCCACTTCTGAGACTTAAATGCATGATTCAACTTCAACTCATACAAACAATGAGAACTGACCCAAAGAGTTACCTAGAGGAGAAATCGGATTGGTGCCATGCTGACTCACTGGCCATGGGGTTCTCTTTGCAGTTTCAAAATTCTTACACATCGGCTATTCTACATCAAACTTGCTTTCTAGTAGGTTGTTAGCACTGAGACCATACTGCATCATAACTGTCACAGTTCAAGTATCACCTCCTACAAATAGCAGTCAGATATTGTCCCCCTTGCCCATATTGCCTGTAACAATGACAGATGATAGCATTAGTCTATCCCCAAGCAAAGCGTAGTATGAATACTCATTTAGACCCTTGACCTCAGGTTATTCCCACAGCCCTCAAAATCCTCTGTGATAAAAAGAGCTCTTAAATACATTTGCTTGCCTCTCATAAAGCACATACCCTTCTCCATACCCTCTATTTTGAAATCTCCATCTGCCAGTCACACACCCTCACATGCTAAATCCTCAGAGACTGCTTGGAAAATGGAATACTGAGTGACATATGGGAGCTGTGTGTTTTTAGTACAACATCTGTGTGGGAGAACATCCCCATATCCCTCACCAGTATCCAATCCAGCTTTGGCAGGGCCTGTATCTTACCATGGCTACCTAAAATACATATTTATAAAGTTTTTGCTGTGGATACCAATACAAGGTTGAGCTATGCTTCTACTAGTTTCACCTGTAGAGCTGTTCTGCATAGGTTTGTGTTATGCAGAAAGGGAAAGATAATACTCGAAGTGTGTGGCATCCCCATCATTCCTATAAAGGTAACATTTTGAACATGCACCCCCCCCCCCCTTCCCTTCCAGGATGCTTTTTCTTATTGCACCAAAACAGCAAACAAAACAAAACAAAGACTACCAAGTAAACATTAAAAATAGTTAACTGACCTAATATTCATATTACTTTAATGAAACCTTAAAATGCGTTTGTCCATTTGCTGAAATTGCTCTGCATTCTTTCTAACCTGCAGTAGTGCAAATCTTTCTTATAGCATCTTTTCCAGTGACAAGCTGTTCCGTCTGTTAAGTGAACACTAAGATAATTTTGCAAATAAATTTTGACATACATGTCTTTTCTCACCTATTTGCCTCAGGAAAGTCTTCAGCTGTGTTGATATGAGGCTTGTTCTGCAAGACTCTTGCTTTCTGCTCATGGTTACTTAACAGGAATGTTTATTTCTGTTTGACCAGTGGAGTTCTGAGTGCCTTGAATCCATTTTTTCCCCCCTATAGAAACAGTATCAGGTTATTTTCTGTTTTATAATGTAGACCACCCAGTACACTCAAATCTTCCATGGAAAGGGTGTTCCTAAATTGCCAGTTTTCTGGAAGGCCGCTGAGCATTGTGCATTTTTCTCCAAAAATTTATTAATAGAGTTTTTAAAAATATTTTGGTAACTACTTAAAACAGGGAGAATAACTCAGAGCTAAAGAAAAAGCAATTGCTGACATTTCTAAAATGCTTCAAATACAAATGGAACTTCTTTGCAACGAAAAGTTATTAAATCCTACAAGTCAATGTCAGGAAATAATCAGAACTGTTGCACACCAATGTTTGTTTGGCAGGTATGAATATGTTTTCTGCAAGTATTTCAGGAAACATTTCACTATTAAATAGAAACCCTGATGAAGAAATGGTAATTCCAACCACTTTCACAGGCAAGCATCTTACAAAACATGATTTCATACTGATTCCAGGTCATATCAAGTACCTGGGTTTATCAGTTTAAACAAATTATATTTGCTTCATTTGATGAAGAGGTATGAGAGCCCTCTGTGTTTGCTTAGACACACAGAAAAGTACTTTAAACAAGAGTACCTATCTATCTATCTTAAGAACGGTTCATCCTCCCCTCTGATATACACCATATAATTGGTAGTAAAAGTGGGAATCAAAGTATTCAGATAGTGTGAAGATGTGGAATGTGTTACACACACACACTGACTCTCCATAGGACAAAGAAGCCATATTATGAGAACAACTAAAACTTCATGGAACTATATTGGAATTGCTATGTTTGGGTTCACAAACAAATTCAGGAAAGGCTGCTACAATTTTCCTGGACAGTCTCAACTGAAAGAAATATGGCTGCATTAAAATGCTTCTTAAAAATAGTGCATCTCCATTTATGAAGATATGAATTCTGAGAACAGTAACTACCACCAGAAAACAAGTTAAAAAACAGCAAATGTGACAACTCTTACCACGGGATCTAGCTGAGACACCCTCAAACCTAGAAGTTTGCTAAGTTAATTCTTTTTGAAAATTCAAACAGTAAAAGGAAAAAATCATACTCACATTACCGTAAGACTGTACCTGTAATCCCATAGACTGTAATCCCCAAGACCTGTATGAATATTCAACTACCAAACTGAAAGTTCAATAGAAAGCCTATGATAAACAGAAAGATACTGCTGCATATATAAACACTCAAAATAGCAAAAAAGGGGAGGGTACAAAAAAAAAAAAAAAGGAAACAAGGCTGTTCTAGTAGAAAATAGAAAAAGAGTAAGGCTGTCTAAGACAGCTTCCACAATACACAACATAAGGCAGTCTGACACACAGACAGCAAGCCTATTTATCACACTGCCTTCCTGCCTTCACAATTCTGCTTTAAACATCAGTCCTTTCAACCAGTAATTTTTTAAATTCATAGGTGCATTGGTAGCACAATTTGGAGTTGTAACAATCAGAGTTTAAAAGTATGTTTTTAGCTTTATTTCTCTCTGAATTTTGATTTTTGCGAAGTAAATTACAGACTTCTCTAAATGAAATCTCTGATCTTAAAAATATTTTTTTAATGAAAAATAAATTCTTAATGATTGTCAGGTGCTCTTATCAGACAGCTAATTCCAACTGCTATGCTTATAAACAGTCAGAAAACGAATGGAATACATTTGAAGGTTCAGAGGGTTTCTCTCCTTTTTTTCCCACTAGCTTCTGCTTCTGTAGCTGCCAATGTAAAGACGTATAAAACTCTGTAGTGTAAAACTACGAAATAAACAAATTTGTGTAACATTCAGAAGGGCACAGAAAGAAGAACAAACTGTCAGATAAAAAAAAAAAACACAAACCAACAACAAAACTTATCTGTGTTTGACAGTGCCATAATGCTACATGCTTCTGGTGTACTGTAAGTTTGAGAACTAATTCCACATCCTCAGCAAAACCATAAAAAGTGTCTTGAGCCAGAAATAAATGATGGCTTAGGATCACAGGACAGTTTGGGTTGGGAAGGACCTCTGAAGAGCTCTAGACCAACCTCCTGCTCAAGGGAGGGTCAGGAAGGGTCACCTAGGGGGCCAGACCAGGTTGCTCAGAGTGTTACCCAGTCACATCTTGGAAACCTCTCCAAATAGAGACTACACAACCGCCTTAGGCAACCTGATCCACAGCTGGTCTGTCCTCCTGGGGAAAACATTTTCCATTAGCCAGGTTAAAAGGCCTCTCTCTTCTTCCAACTTATTTGTGTTGTCTCCCATGCTCCCACCTGAACCACTGTGTGGCACCCGGTTCCATCTTCTTGATGATCTTGTTGTAACTATGGGTGGGTCTGCTGCTAGGTGCCCCTGAAGCCACCTCTTCTCCAGGCAGAGGCAGCCCAGTTCCCTCAGCCTCTCTTCATAGGGTAAGTGCTTCAGCCACCAACCACGTTCATGGTCCTCTGCTGAATTTGTTCCCATTCATTAGGTCTTTGCACTTGTCCATGTTGAATTCCAACAGTTTCTGTTCCTATCAGCCTATTCCTTGCTTCAGGACTGTTAAAGCTACAGTTACTAAACTTCATATTGGCATGAAATATTAAAACACGAAGTATGAAACACGTGTTTTCAGGGGTTTTTTTTGTTTGTTTGTTTTTGTCACAAAACATTGAGGAATGGCTGTAGCATGTTGTACACAAACAGAGCTGGTATGATGAAATGAGACAGCAGAAGAGTACCTAGCGCATAAAGATTTGAAATTCTGTGCCACACACATAACAACTACATCTAGCCCATGATCTCAGCATCAAGACTTTCTTGGCACATCCACAATTCTTACCAGAAACGTTAGAATTAGAATCACAGAATGCTTTGGGTTGTTAGGGACCTTAAAGCTCATTCAGTTCCAACCCACTGCCATGGACAGAGACATCTCCCAGCCAACTAGTTTGCCCACTGCCCCCATCCAGCCTGACCTTGAACTCTTCCAGGAAGGGGCCGTCCACAACTTCTTTGGGCAACCTGTTACAGTGCCTCACCACTCTCACGGTGAAGAAATTGAAAGGAACATTTTGATAAATGTGATCAATTCCACACACAGTGCGAAGTTCTTGAATAGATTAATCAATATTAATTTGCTTAAGAAATTCAGAAATGATCTTGAATAATAGATTCTTTACAACTATTCGTGAAATTAAGTAGTATTCTCTCCCTAACTGAATAGCGTAGATAAAAACAGCAGTGGGAATTTTGATAGACATATTTCGTAGTTCACAGTTGGATCCCATTCAGGCTACTTATGAGAATTCATATGAGAGAAATTGTTTCCCCAGACATGAATAGTAAATACAGAATTATTTCAAAGAACTCAACGTTAATTAGTTTTAAAAGCAAAATGAATATTCAGAGAAATAAATTATTTGTCCAAGACTTCGTTCCTTAAGATTTTTTACACAGTTAACTCCAATATTTCTGTGTTCAGAAGAACAAGAAAAATCAATGCTTTTCTGCTAAGGCTGATTCTGGCATGGCAGGCTATGTCAGATGTTCCCATCTTACACAGCTTCTGGGGATTCAGTAATCCTGATTCAGGAATCTTTCATTTTAAAGCTTCAGAGCAAAATATCCTAACAGCAGTTTTTGTAGGTTTTTGAAAGTGCAGAGACTGCTTTGTAGATCACAAACATAAAAGAACAAAACCATACTTTAATCAGGATTCGTGTCACTCTGTAGTTACTGAGTGGTAATAAACATAGGAACTGTCTACAACTTCTAAGGTAATTTTTCAGTACATAGAAAAACTTTATGACTTTTTGAATCACAAGAGCTTGTTGGGGCATTGGTGCATAGTACCTTGTAGTGAGATGAACGAGTATACAGATGGCTTAAGATTCAGCATTAATTTTGCAATATCAAGCAAAGAGGCAGAGCACTCCTGGATGGCAATGAATGAAGAGTCACATGAAGGTTTTCAGTTTCTTTTCTAGGTTCCCTCTTTACAAATAGAGCATGCATACACACATAGAACAAAAGGTCAACAGATCAGTTTGCATTAAGGATTGGAACTGAGGTCAGAGCTCAGGTTTCAGATTGAGAGAAAAGCCAAAAAGTCCCGTGGAAATAGGGCTGGAAAGGAGCTGCTGAAATAAAGGATAGACTGCAAAGAAAACTTGGCTTTTACACCATTTTTATCTGTGCGTTGATTGAGGGGGACTTGTTAAACTCAACTTTTGTTTGGGTTATGGTTATGACTGAAAGAAAATGAGTTTGTTTCTTTCCCGTGTTTAATTTTTGTAACGAAATTCCTCAGGGTAAATGTAATCCCACACTTTCTCTTGGGCATTCTGCATTTTAAATGTTATTAATATGCACTATGTTTAGAACAATCAGATGTGGTTGAACTAGAGTAAATTCTAAAAGTAGCAACTGAGTAGTAAACTGGCAATGTTGCTAGATACGTTTCAGAATTTAAAAGTATTTTAAAATAAATTTAAATAAATTCCCGATTTCATAACATTAATGTTCCATACTCTCTTCTTTCATTATTTTCCTCATTCACATATTTATAGAATGTTTTTTACTTAAATCATACGTAAGGGTAGCAAGGTGGGACAACAGAATAACAGTAATCATATTTTGTATTAGAATACTTCTGAGGTATAGCTGAGCTGTTCAGGACTCACCAAATAAAGGATATTTTTTTCCCCTGTGTAGGAATTATACACAGGCTCATACCTTTTCATTCTGGGCACCACAGTATAAAAAGGACATGAAACTGTTGGAGAGTGTCCAGAGGAGGGCTACGAAGATGGTGAAAGGCCTGGAGGGGAAGACATACGAGGAACGGCTGAGGGCACTGGGCCTGTTCAGCCTGGAGAAGAGGAGGCTGAGGGGAGACCTCATCGCAGTCTACATCTCATCACAGTCTACAACTTCCTCGTAAGGGGGTGTCGAGAGGCAGGAGACCTTTTCTCCATTAACACCAGTGACAGGACCCGCGGGAACAGGGTTAAGCTGAGGCAGGG